CAGACTGCAATCAATAAGGATAGTTGTCAACACCTCCTCCACAATAATCCTCAACATCGGTGCCCCTCAAGGCTGCGTACTCAGCCCCTATACTCCTTATACAAACGATTGTGTGGCCAAATTTGCTCTAACTCCATTTACAAGTTTGCTGATGACACCACTGTAATGGAACATATAGGAGTTGGGACATCATGTTGCAGCTATTCAAGACATTGGTGAGGCCACTTTTAGAATACTGCATGCAATTCTAGTTGCCTTTTATAGGAAGGATGTAGTTAAACTTGAGAGCATGCAAAAAAGATTGACAAGGATGTTCCTGGGACTAGAGGGTTTGAGTGATAGGGAGAGGCTGAATAGGCTGGAGCACTTCTCCCTGGAATGTTGGAGGCTGAGGAGTAACCTTGTAGAGTTTTATAAAATCATGAGGGGCATGGAAAGGGTAAATAGCCAAGTTCTTTTTCCTACACTGGGGGAGTCCAAAACTAGAGGGAATGAGTTTAAGGTGAGAGGGTACAAATTTAAAAAGTGGTATCTTTTTCATGCAGAGGGTGGTGCGTGTATGGAATGAGCTGCCAGAGGAAGTGGTGGCGGTGGGTACAATTACAACATTTAAAAGGCATCTGGATGGGCCTATGAATAAAAAGGGTTTAAATGCTGGCAAATGGGACTAAGTCATATTGGGATGTCTGGATGGCGTGATTAAGTTGGACCAAAGGGTCTGTCTCCATGCTGTATGATTCTAGTGACTCTTTATTTCAGGCACTTGGAGATTGTGCAGGAACTTGCTTGAGTTAAAGACGGGATTGGTGGGGTAGGGGGAGGGGGAACAATCTTGTTATCTTGCTGCAAACTCCATCCTCTTAAGTACCGACTCCACCACTCTCTCCATAGCAGCAATCTCAGGTGTTTGCAGCCTTTGTGTCCCACTGGAGATGAGCTTCCAATCACATATCGCTGTACCATTGATCCAAAATATTGTGGATGCTGGAAATCTGAAACAAAGAAAGAAAATGCTGGAGAAATCTCACTGGTCTGGCAACATCTGAAGAGAAGGAAACAAAGAATGTTTTGAGTCTGATATGATTCTTCTTCAGTTCCAACATTTTTGCTGCTGAATCCCTTATGACTGTCACCTGTAAGCTTGGCCATAATAATGCTCTTCTTGTTTTTCAATATTGTATCCTCTGTGAGCTTTAGGTCGTCCAAAGCTCTGCTATCTGTGCCTTAACTCACATCATTTCTCTTCCCTATTACTGTTGAGCTTGCTGACCTCTATTGGCTCACAATCTAGGAGCACCTTGACATGAAAATTTATCCTCGTTTTCAAGTCCATCCATATGACTAGCTCAATTGTTGTTTGTCGTGTAGGTTAATATTTGGACTGAAATGTAGGGGGCATAATCTTGAGTTCGTAGATGATAGGAAAATTGATTGGGTGGTAATCAATAGGGAGGATAGCAGTAAACTGCAGGAGGATATGAACAGACTGGTCAGAAGGACAGAGCAGTGACAAATGGAATCCAACGCAGAAAACTGTGAGGTCATGCATTTGGGAGGGCTAACAAGGCAAGGGATCACACTCTAAATGGTTGGACCCTGGTAAAGTACTGAACATTGGGGACCTTGGTGTGCATATTCTCAGATCTGTGAAGGTAGCAGGTCAGATACATAAGGTGGTTAAGAAAGTACTTGCCTTTAACAGTTGCCTTTACCAGAATGCAAGAGCAGCATGGTAATATTGGAACTATACAGAATGTCAGTTGGGCCACACTGAAGTATTTTGTGCTGTTTTGCTCACAACATTTTAGGAAGGATCTGATTGTACTAAAGAAGGTGCAAAGGAGATTGACCAGAATGTTGGCTGAGCTGAAAGGCCTGAGCGATGAGGAAAGATTAGACAGGCTGGAGTTGTTTTCCTTGGGGTAGCAAAGGTTGAGGCTGGATCTGATAGAGATGTATAAGATTATGAGGGGCATAGAAAAAGTGTACAGGAAGGCACAGTTTCCCTTAGTAGGGGGATCAATAACCAGGGACCATAGGTTTAAGGTAAGAGGTAGAAGGCTAAGAGGAAAGTGAGGACTAATGTTTTCACCCAGAGAGTGGTGCAAGGGTGGAATGCTTGAAAGAGTGGTTGATTCAGAATCTCTCTTAACATTTAAGCAATATTCAGATATTCATTTGCATTGCCATACTTTCGAGGGCTATGGATTAAAACCTGGAAAATGAGATTAATGTAGTCAGATTTTTGTTGACTGGTGCACATACAATGGCTTGAAATGCCTCCTGTACTGTAAACATTTATGACTCTCACCCCCTCTTTAAAACATCCAGTCCAACAACACTTGCGATATCTGCACTCACCTAATTTTGGTTTCTTGCCCATCCCCAATTTTGATTTAATGTATTAATATAAATTGTAATATAACAAAAGTCACCAGATGAACTAGTTTTGAATGTCAACTGACCTACAAATTCAAAGCATGGTTCATTTTTTTTCAAAGCTTTGAAGACATTCAGCACCAAACAGTCTATTGTTTCACAGCTTTTCAGGAAAATTGATTTTCACTGAAGTATATTAGATGCATTTGCAAATATGTAACAAATATGAAAGCATATACTTTTTCATTCTTTGCTAACTATTGAAACCGCTGTTGTGCCATTAGATTTTCTTTCAAAGGAAATATCTTTGTAAATTGCACTCAATTTGTATGCTGTTTATTTGAAAATGTTTCTGTTGAAACTGCTTTCAGAAAAGGTTGGCCTTGATAGTGACGCTGCTATTCTAGGAACAAATTTAAAGAAAACACTGCAAACTCATTCTTCTTCATATCAAGAAGGTAAAGCATTGCTTATGTTCAAAATTATTTGATTTGAACATAGTGAATAGGTTTATATGATGTAAGTTATATGTCTCAACTTATCTGCAGTGTTCAAGTTCAGTTGGCCAGTACTACAACCTATTTAACACATGCAGGACCAGTCCTTTGTACATATCCTTCACTTCCTAACTATTTGCTAAAAGGAATTATAGATTTTCAGACAGAATTGGATTAATGGCACAAAAACAGGACATTTGACCTAACCAAACTACGCCAGTTTTTACGTCCCATTCTAGTCTCATCCCATCTTTTATTAGCTTAATTCGCCATCATAACCATCTATCTCTTTCTCTCTCAAATAGTTGGCTAGCTCCCTCTTAAATGTACCATTTGCTTCAACAATTCCCTGAGACAGTGAGTTCCATATTTTTACCTCACATGGGTCAAGATTTTCCATTTTGAAGTTAAAGTATGGCAGTGCGTTTTTTAGATTGTGTCCTCTCTGCCAATGCCTGAGGCAAGTTATCTCACACAGTCACATGCTTTTTGTCTCATTATTCATGCAAGTGAAATGTGGCACAATTTAGTTGGTAATTCACATTTGGCCAACGAGCCAGAAGTTCTCACCATTGGCGGACTTCGTAGAGTCAAATGTTCTGGCATCATACTTATAGGCTAGCGGGATACCACTTCACTCACTGGAAACCAGAAATTTCCAAGGAGCCTAAGGTGGGCACTGCCAAGAAGTTGAAGCTGGTTTGTCCATCCTCTTCCCAGGAGATGACACTAGGAAGCCATCTGATCAGCAGTTAGATCAGTCCAGCCTAGGAGCACACCACAACCACTGGCCCACTGCCAGGTGTGGAAGGGATATCCCTTGTCATCCAATATAACAATCCTTGTATGGGACAAGGGTATTTTAAAAAGACTATGCCTGCAAGTGGTCCGGGATGTATGTATGGGTCAGTGCAGCTCCCTGACTATCTAACAGAGACCTACACTATCTGACTGCAATGATCACAAATAATTTGTAAGAGACTAGAATCCTTTTCTGCTCATGAAGACGACTGGTTGATGATTGTGATGTGGGTGTAATCAATGACACTATGAACCTGCAGGAAACCAGCGTTAGATGAGAATCCTAATGCTCTCACTGCCTGACTTCTCACGTTAAAGTGACAGAGATGAATTGGTGTCTGTCACAAAGACAGCATCAATGAAATTCCCAGATGCAGTGAAGAGCTGAGAATTGTGAAATGTCACAGTCGCCAGCAGGTCCATGAACAAAGAAAATTACAGCACAGAAACAGGCCCTTCGGCCCTCCCAGCCTGCGCCGATCCAGATCCTCTATCTAAACCTGTCGCCTATTTTCTAAGGATCTGTATCCCTCTGCTCCCTGCCCATTCATGTATCTGTCCAGATCCATCTCAAATGACATTATTATGCCCGCCTCTACCACCTCTGCTGGCAACGCATTCCAGGCACCCACCACCCTCTGCATAAAGAACTTTCCACACATATCTCCCTTAAACTTTTCCCCTCTCACCTTGAAATCGTGACCCCTAGTAATTGAGTTCCCCACTCTGGGAAAAAGCTTCTTGCTATCCACCCTGTCTATACCTCTCATGATTTTGTAGACCTCAATCAGGTCCCCCCTCAACTTCCTCTTTCTAATGTAAATAATCCTAATCTACTCAACCTCTCTTCATAGCTAGTGCCCTCCATACCGGGCAACATCCTGGTGAATCTCCTCTGCAACCTCTCCAAAGCATCCACATCCTTTTGGTAATGTGGCGACCAGAACTGTACGCAGTATTCCAAGTGTGGTCGAACCAAAGTCCTATACAACTGTAACATGACTCGCCAACTCTTGTACTCAATACCCCATCCGATGAATGAAAGCATGCCGTATGCCTTCTTGACCACTGTATCGACCTGCGTTGCCATCTTCAGGGTACAATGGACCTGAACACCCAGATCTCTCTGTGCATCAATTTTCCCCAGGGCTTTTCTATTTACAGTATAGTTCACTTTTGAATTGGATCTTCCAAAATGCATCACCTCGCATTTGCCTGGATTGAACTCCATCTGCCATTTCTCCGCCCAACTCTCCAATCTATCTATATTCTGCTGCATTCTTGACAGACCCCTTCACTATCTGCTACTCCACCAATCTTAGTGTCATCTGCAAACTTGCTAATCAGACCATCTATACCTTCTTCCAGATCATTTATGTATATCACAAACAACAGTGGTCCCAACACAGATCCCTGTGGAACACCACTGGTCACAGTGAAACACTAGCAAAGAAATTAAGGGTAACTGTTACATTTAGGAATATCAGGATGTGATTGATTCCAAGTCCATGCAACCTCAGGCACAGATGTGACAATGAAGGCTTGAGTCATTCTGAGATAATACTGCATTGTTCTGTACTGGTTCTTACTCATCTGTGGATAACTGCACCTCATCCTTTAGATTCTGTTTTGTGCCATATGTCTTCTACGTGTTAGATGTCATCCTGCTTCTTTTCCTTCTGTAGACAGTGTGGCAGCTGGCAGCAGCTGCTGTGTCAACTCCGTACTCTTCTAAAGCACTTTCTTTGCAGCTGTAGGATTGCAAGAAAACTGCTCAGTTGACCTGTGCCACGCTTCTTTCATTAGATACTGGAGGGGAAAAAATCAGTAAGAAGAGTAATACTTGAAAATAAATGTATCTGCTGTACTGAGCCATCTTTTGTTTAATCCATTCATGGGAAATGTATGTTGAAGTATGAGTCAGACTAGTGTGCCTCATTTTTTATAGAACATAGAACACTACAGCACAGTACAGGCCCTTCGGCCACGATGTTGTGCTGAACTTTTACCCTAATCCTAAGGTCTATCTAACCTCCACCCCTACGTTATACTATCACCCAAATGCCTATCTAATAGCCGCTTAAATACCCCTAATGAGGCCGAATCCACTACCCTCTCTGGCAATGCATTCCACGCCCCTACCTCTGACGTCTCCCCTATATCTACCTCCACTCACTTTAAAACAATGTCCCCTCATAATAGCTACCTCCACCCTAGGAAAAAATCTCTGGATGTCCACTCTATCTATACCTCTGATCATTTTGTACACCTCTATCAAGTCACTTCTCATCCTTCGTCGTTCTAAAGAGAAAAGCCCTAGCTTTTATTCTTTTGTTTCCTTTGTTCTTCAGAACATTCTGAAGAAGGGTCACTGGACCCAAAACATTGACTCTGTTTTCTCTCCACAGGTGCTGCCAGACCTGTCGAGTTTCTCCAGCAATTTCCTTTTTTATTTCAGATTCCCAGCATCCGCACTTCTTGTTTTATTTTTAGTAAGTGAAAGCACACAGTCTTAGTAGAGAGATCATTGGCATTGACATCCTTCCTCACAACATTCCACGCTGTGCCCTCACACCTTCGCGAAGGCCTCAGGCATCATCTGCTCCACCTGATTATTTGGGGAATTTGCTTCTTGACAGTACAGCTGTTCGCTGCCACCGCAGGAGCTTGGAGGCATCTACTACTGCAGGGTTACCTTTGAGCCTGGAATTTCACTCCCATGCACATTAGTCATCCTGATGACTAGAATCAAGAAATGTCAATGTTCCCTTGGCATGAAGCAGCTTTGAAACCTTCCTCAGGAGCCCTCTTCCATCTCCCTTCATCCTGTCTGTGAGTAAATGGCAGTGGCAATGTGATGGCTTGGAGTCCCAATGACTGAGCACCTTGACTAATGGAGAAGATGAGGTTTGGAATGAATGTGCCTTGCTGTATTCCTCTAATTGCCCTGAGATATCGCAAGGTGACAAATCAGGTTAGATTTCACTGGTGGAGCAAATTACTGCAGATGCTGGAATCTCTACTGAAAACAACAAATGCTGGAGATCACAGTGTGTCAGACGGCATCCATGGAGAGAGAGCAAGCTAACGTTTCAAGTCTAGATGACTCTTCATCAGATGCTGTCCGACCTGTTGTGATCTCCAGCATTTGTAGATTTTAGTGGTATGAGAGACTCTTAAAATCAGTTGAATCAAATTAAACAAGATTGAATTAAATTAAAGGGTACCAGCTGCTTAATGGGCCACTAACCAAAATCAAATATTCAAATAAAACTTACAAAATTTAAATTAAAAGGTCATTTTCGGTGGCAATAATACACTTTAGCCCTTGAGGAGCCCACCACTCGCAGAAGAGCTCGAGCATTCTGATGGACACTGCGTGCTCCTCTTTAAGGGGCACCAAGCATGGATATAGCTGCAGCAAAGGGAGCTAGCAGTCAGGCCAAATGACCCCTTCGACTGCACCCCCCCATATCTAGGACAAAGTGACCATGACATGCCTTTGCCCCAACCCCTGCTCAACCTTCAAAACCATGTAGTCCTCTCCCTATCCTGTTGGATCTCACCCCACAATATTCAATTGTCCCATACAGCTGTGACCATTCCATTGGACAGTGAACGTAACCAGGACAATCCCAAGACATGAGCTGCTCATTTGGCCTTTGAGCCTGCCCTGGCATTCCATAAGGTTGTGTCTGATGCAGAGGTGATTTCACCTCCATTTCCTGTCTGCCTAATATGACTCTGGACCCCCACCCCCTCATCTATAAAAGATCTATCTAATGCTGCCTTAAATCGATTCACAGGCCTAACCTCCACAGTTTTCTATGCAGAAAATACCGTTTGAAGTTTATGAAGTGCGTATTCTATACCTCTGTTAATAAAAGGTTTGAATATTGAGAAGGACACATGATAAAACAACATTGTGAACAAATTGTATGAAAGGAAAAGTAATATATATATAACTCACTGGAAACATATGGTGCAGTTGCTATGGTATCTGGAATATGGGTAGATAAGGCAAGTAATAAAATATAAATAGAACATAGCACAAAATAAGAACCACATCGCAAAGAAAATGAAATGTAGAGGAAATCAAATAATGAAAACAACCTTGTGTCTATCGGCAGGAATTTCTTTTTCTGAAACACAGCATGGAGAAAAATGGGAGGGACATCCATTAGGCACAGTTCAGGATTTCCTGCACAATTACATTCTTCACAGCTTATTGTGTTGTGCACATGCGGGTAAAACACCAAGTTTTGTTGGCAGGATGTTCTGAAGCCTGCTGTGACAATCTGGGCTCCAATGTCCAGACAATATATTTGAAAGGTATTGAGAAGCGCTTAACTCTGTGCAACCCAGAGACATCTCTCAGCTTCTGCTCATCACCTCCACCCACTCCAGCGAAATCAGACACCAGGCAACTAGCAATGCTAAGCTTCAGTGATGCCACGTTAGGAGTTCTCCTGAGGCTATCCAGGAGAGAAGCAAGCTCTTTTCCTTGAAGATCGTAAAAAGAGGTCATCCCAGATCCTGGACAGATGTGGGTCCATACCATCAATGTCTGTGGACAGCTCGAGAGAACCTGACTCCAGTGTTGCAAAAGGATGAATGATTTGCTGTGTTCTGGTAAGGTACGTGCCACTGTCTAATTAATACTTCTCGCTCCTAGGAATGAAAGTATTGTAAAGTTGTTACTGCGGACGACAGTTACACAGGTGGTTGGGTGCCAGGCAGCTCTATCAAATGCCTCATGTACAATCAATCTCAGTTAATTACAGATACATTCAGCAACTTAGGCACAATCACATCACTGATCTCTCATTACAACTAAGAGAACATACATATTTGATAGTGTTTCATCAAAGGCTAACTTAGGACAGGGACACAACCACAAAAGATGGCCTTTTGAGTTGGTCCTCCTTTTAAGTGGGTGACCTTTTGCCTGTCGGTCTTATTTACTGGTATTAGCCAGTGTAACAGCTTTGTTGGCCCAGTCAGGCTTCACTCTAACACAGTGAGTGTTTAACAACAAGCCAGACTGCACATGATTGAGAATTCTCAGGAGCAAATTAACATAGAGAGGCTTCACCTCTGACACTCAAAGATATTTGCACAAAGAAATGCCTTTGTAATAAAGACACCAAGTAACCAAAGAAGCTGCACTTGAGTTAGGAAGATGAAATCTACCCTGTCAGGTATATGCCTCATATGTTTCGTCAGGTTTGTGAACACATGTATTTCCTGTGTTTGGCTAACAAGATTGCATCTGTGAATGTAATTTCAGTGGGCTGGGTCTTTTAGTGAGTATTTGTGACATGCTAATAAATGCAAACCTAACTGCCTTCCGAAATGATCTCAGAACATAATAGCAAAACTTTAACCCACCAACAGGAAAATGAATTTTTCCCTCCTGCTCAATTAAGTTCCCCTCCATCCTTCTAAAAGTCCAGACTGGCAAAGGACATTCTGCTGTTTTATGTCACAAGGGATAAAGGAATGTAAAAATTAAATAATTGAGGACAATGAAAGGCAAGAGGACACAATGAAAGACTTGCATAATAAACTGAAAAAGAACCACTTTGGTTTCTGTCTGAGATGAATCTGACTACTCTCTCCAATGTATCCTTGAAGCCATTGCTATTACTCAGTAAATAGAGGACAGCATTGATTAGAAAAGAGTCAAGCATTAAAAAGTAGTTTTGAGATAATGACAGAAGGGACTCAACAATGCAGAGTAGGATTGTGGTAGGTTTTGTCCAGTGAGTAGAGAAGAGGAACAGAAGGTCTGTTATTTAAAGGATAAGCTGTTTCATATACAATATAAAGATAACAATGCAAACTCAATTAAATAGTGATAAGCTCAGACTGTAATAGAATGGCTGTCTCCACTCCAGTCTTCATTTGATGGAAATTTCTGTCAGGTGAATTATTATTTTGAGATGTTTTGCAAAGCCAACCATGCTCATGAATGCAACCACCAATCAATTGTGCGCTCTGGTGCCAAACACATTGCTAAGCTTATCAGGCATTGAATGTGTGTTCAATCTGGCGTTAAAAAGAAGGATGCTGAAATGAGTTACTTTCGAGGTGCTCCCTAAAACACGGTCTCAGTGTTATATGGAATAGCATACAGCCAGTTTGCATTTTTAGAGACCACTGGTTGATCTTGTGCTGTAACATTCTGTGTAATGAGAAACCATGCCACAAATGGTTATAAACTATATGTAATTCCAAAGCGATTAGATGTTAATAGGTAAAAAGATAAGAACACATTGTAAATTACATTAAACAGCTAGAAACCCAAGCCAAGCATAGTTGCAAAGTTGTGTGAGGAAGCTTTGCCTTTGAACTTATCTTTTCAGTTGTGATTTAGAAGAGATCAGTGCATTATAGTTATATGCTAAATTTAATGTTCAGTTACATTGCTAATGTATGAACTGATCAAGTTTATACATGAAGTACCTACATAATTTAAGCTTGATGATAGACGTTAACATCTTTGTCAGTTATTCTAATTAGCCAAAACTCAACTCAAGAAAGATACAGAGAAACTGAGGGATGTAAATAAAAGTTGTGTTGACCAATCCTGAAAAAAGTCATAATTAATTACAGAAAGTAACTATTTAAAGAGATAATCATATCAACACTGATCAGTGGTGAAACTAAAGACAATAATGGAGATTGGCGTTCATATTTGGTGATCTCATAGTGCTGAATGAGTTAGCTGAACTGATTTAAAGGAAGTTAATAAACATAAGAGTAAGATGTTTTGCTAAAGTAAGTAGTGAGTGCGTAACAGAGATAGCTATTATGGTAGTTAACCCTGGCAGTGTGTTCATTCACTACATTATTCTTGTGGAAGCTGGAGGACCATATGCACTTCCTGGTCCCACAGAAGCAATTTTAGATATTTTCTAATCAACCTGTTCAGAGATGTTATTACGCACCTCTGGAGCAAGTAGGGCTTGAAACTGTGCCTCCTGGCTCAAAGATAAGGACATTACCATGGTGTCCTAAGGACCTTGACAGAAGTAATTTTAGACTTATCTGAATGGGCCTCTTTGCTGTTCCTCCAAGTATTACAGAGGAGATAATCCACAGCAAATAACTTTCCCAATAGATAGTTAAAATTACATTGGGGTCTTAGGTAGGTGATGAAACCCTGCCTAATAAATAGTTGAAGTTCCTGTTTGATTTGGGTGAATGCCTGCACCACCCAGTAAAATGTGCTGGTAATAGGCCCAAGAGTAAATGTACCCCCCTTCCATTTTATCTCCGCTGCTGCCTACATTTCATTGGCCAGTGGGAGTTAAAATCTAACCCATGTTCTTCTGTAATATTCTTGTAAATGATTCAAAAAGACAAATGCTGTCCCACATTTCCATCACTTGTAAACTGTAGCAATACAGAAAGTTCCATAAACTTTGAATACTAAATAAATATACTTCACTATAAGAGACAACCATTCATGAACATTTGATTATGGAGTGAATAGCTTTGGTCTGAGTTGAACAAATTGTCCCAGGTATGACCTATGGAGTTTATTTATCAGGAACACAAAAATACTTGACATTGTGGTCACAATGAACTTGAGAACTAACTAGCACCAGTTAAAGAAATGTTTTATAGGATTATCAAGAATTTGACTATTGTTCCATTATGTATATCATACTTATCGTTCCAGAGATATCTTGGTACATTCCCCAAGTAACTCAATTACGACTTATCAACTGCCACTGACAACTTTGCTTCAGGGGCTGCATTCTTCAAACTGGAAAGAAATGTTCTTTGCCGAGTTTTAACTCAATTAAGTTCTTTTGAATGGCAGTAGAGGTATTTAATAATTCTGTCAGAATTCAAATTATTCAGTGTTAATCATTGGAATTGTTGATATGCCAACTTGTTGAACAGGTTAATGTGGCCAAGTAATGCAAGTGAAAGGGGAAGAAGTAGATTGTGAAGGGTCCCTGACAGATTATCTATTGTATGTTGCCAGGTTCTTCATACAAAGCTGAAAGCTACTTTTGTATTGATGTTATTCAACATATTCAAACTTGAACTGAGCGGTAAGTTTAGTCTGTTTTAACGCAAGTTATTTTCTCATTTCTCTCTCCATAATCTTCCTTGCAGAAGTCAAGCTTGTTTTATGGCCCACTATATAAATAAAAATGTAAAATTTCTATTGCTATTCTCATGTGCCAGTACAGTCTGAATCTCAAATGAGTTTTTATGTTTTAAAACTGACTACAAAAGGTTGAAAAAGGTGGCCACCTGATGATCCAACAGGTTTGGGGATTTTAGGAATTGGAACCTCTCCCCTATCTCAACAAAGTAACAAAAGGAATCTTTCGACTGAAGTATCAATGCCCAAGCATGAAAGTAATTCAGTGGTGTCAGATTCTCAAGACAAAATCCTCAACTACAGTGGAATTACAGTGGACCTTAATGATCCATATTATTTGGGAAAGGACTTGTAACAGGTGATGAGACAGCCATTCTCTCTACTTGCTGTTAAAAACACAAGAAGCTGTCTTCAACAGAGAGTGCCATCAGAAGCCCATTGAAACGGCTGTAAGTTATCTAAGCAGCCAAGGTAATAAATAGCAATGGTTTGAAAGAGGAAGAAGGATTTCTTCCTGTTCAAGTTTACCTAAGGAGAAAGAAAATGAATTTAAAAGTAGAACTAGGAAATAAACATGCTGGTCATACTGGATTTCTGTTTTCAGGTATGCAAGGTAAGTCAGACCAGTTTCCATCATTTCCAAGTTTTAGTCCTGGAAATTTGACTACTGTACAAGAAGCCTTGCAACTTACCAAGATGTCCACAACAAAAGCATTAACTCATCTAAGCCATTTCAGAAGACACTGAAGAAGTACTAAATTATAATTTTTGTTTAACCTTCACCTGTATCCGTATTCGTATATGTGAGATAATTAAGTGAATCATTACATTTTAAATATCTATGGCAATTTGTGCAACAACAAATAACCTCTTTAATTTTAAAACTCTCAGCTTACTGTTTGAATTATTGAATTAGGACAATCATTTTGAGTGTAAAAGCAACACACTTTCTACATGCTAACATATTAAACATATGCAGGAAGAAGAAAAATGCATTACAAATTCTGTCTATGACAGTATGGAATCTGAGTTTGTGCACTGCTTGGCTCACCAGACTATGTATATTTTTGTTTACAGGCTTTGATCATTTCCACAAGACATTCTATTTTGCTACAATCCCAAGAGATATACACAGACCCATTAAATGTGGGCAAGCAACATATTTATTGCAGACTGTCAACATACTCTGCATCTTCACAGATTTAAGAGTGTGTTGAAGCTGTAGTATATGGGAGCTGCTGGATGCCAGTGTAATCTATGGTGACCACACCGGTAGCAAGTGTTGGCTGCTCGAGGAACTTTGGCTCAGAGTTGATGAGCTGGAGTCTGGAGCTGTGGACACATCAGGAAGGGGAGATGTACCTGGACACTGTTTCAAGAGGCAGGCACACCATTTAATTCCATCAAAATTGGTCTGTGGTCAGGGACAGAAGGGTGTGAGTGCAAGTGAGGCAGGTATAGGGAAGCAGAATTTAGGTTTGGAGGAGACTCAGCTAATGCCTTTGTCCAATAAGTACAAGATTCTTGGTCCTGGTGCAGACAAAGGCACAAACTGCAGGGAGAATAAGGAAACTGAACACAGTGATCCAGAACACCATTTAAGTTGGGGTCTGAGAAGATAAATGTATACTAAGAGGACAGCATAGTTGGGGGAATAGATACTGTTCTTTGCAGCAAAGTCAGAGTCCCAAAGGTTGTGTATCCTACCTGGTGTCAAGGTTGAAGACATCTCTTCTGGGCTGGAGAGAAACGTGGGAGTGGGGTGGAGGGAGGGGGGAGGGCGGATGGATCTAGTTGTCACAGCCCACATAGGAACTAACAACATAGGTCGAACTAGGAAAGAATTTCTGCTGAAGGATCGTGAGCAGTTCAGAGCTGACTTGAAAAGCAGAACTACAAAGGTAATTTGTCTTTGGATTATTACTTGAATTTCATGCAAATCTAACTATGGTAAATGAGATTAGAGAATAAATGAGTGGCTCAAAGATTGTTGTGTGAGAATTTGGTTTTGATTCACAGGGTGCTTGCACCAATATTGGAGGAGGAGAGAGTTGTTCCATTGAGATGGACTTCATTTGCATCATAAAAACCAAAAGAACTGCGGATGCTATAAATCAGGAACAAAAACAAAGTTGCTGGAAAAGCTCAGCAGGTCTGGCAG